CTGTGTGACCCTGGGCAAGTCACTTAATCTTGTTTGCCTCAGTTCCTCATATGTAAAATGAGCTGGAGAAAGAAATGTCGAACCATTCTAGTATCTTTGCCAAGAAAACCCCAAGTGGGGTCACAAAGATTTGGACGTGAGTGAACAAATATGTTACATATATTATTTCACTTGATCCTCAGTAGGTGCTATAAATCTCATTTTATAGTTTAAAAAACTGAGGCTGAGAAAGGTTAAGTGATTTGCCCAGGGTCACAGAACTAGTAAGTGTCTAAGACAGGATTCAAATCCAAGTTTTCCTTCCTCCAAGTCTCTATCCACTATGCCACCTTGCTGCCTCTTCTTACAACCATGTTGTCAACAGCCAATGCCAAGTTAGTACTTCTCCCTCAATGTTATCTTCCCTTTGATGTTTAGCATTTCTTACAGAGCTTTAATCTACCTTATTTTATTTGATCTTCACTACAACCTTGTGAAGTAGATACAGGAGGTTTAGCATGATCACTATTTCTCAGCTGGTAAAACAAAGTCACTGTTTAGAATCAGAAGGAAAACACTGGCCTTGACACCTAGTCCAGGGACCCCTAGTCCTAGTTCTATTCAGGCTTTAAGCCAGCATGCATGAATATTCACATTAATGAACAACAGAAGGAATGAACAAATAAATATTGATCAGTGCCTATTGTGTGTAACATAGTACAAAGGCCACTTTTTCCTAAGGGGAACCAAATCTTCCCTTGTCTAAGACTTTCTTGCATTAATTTCATTGCTGGATTTTAAAAATGAAATATATTTGTCAGCCTTGTGAAAATCATACCTTTCAGCCTCCTACATTGGTCACTTTTAATAGCATCACTTGTTAAACAAAGGAAACAATGAATGAATGAAAAAGAAAACATTTCTTGTATCTCCTAATAAGCTTCTATAATGACATCCCTCTTGGCAGGCAGGATACCCACCACTGACTTTTGAATCAAAACAACTGTGCCATGTGACTCCAAATACATAGCAAAGTCTGATTTTCCTCTTCCATTAATGCAGCTCCTCCATTAAATTGGTATTAGATTGGTGACAGATCATATGTCAGTTATCTGATAGCTACACAAAGTTTTGGTTGTACCAGCTGGTTTGACATTTTCCCACTAATCTTGAATCTTGGCTTTTCCCTTCCCTAAGCAGATGCAATAGAACTCTATAGAGTAGATATTTGGTATCCAATGAGACTTTTACATTAACTCTTTAGCTATCTGTAGCTAAAGGCTATCTATAATCTACTTCCACTACTTTTCTATTTCTATCTTCCAGTCTCTCCTACTGGAATAGACTATTTGCAAGTGAAAGGCCTCTAGTCCATTCCAGGAGAGTGAGCAAGCCAAAATTGGTCAATGGAGAATAGTCCAGTTGGCCAGAATATAGAGTGTGTAAGGAGGAAATAAGGCTGAAAAAGTAGGGAACTAAATAAATTATAGATGGTCTTAAATATCAGGCTAAAGAATTAATGTAAAGGAAAGTCTCATTGGATATCAAATGTCTACTACTGCGTAGACTCAGGTTCTATTGCATATGCCCAGGGAAGGAGTCTGTCTCTAGATGATGTATGTTGATTTGCCAAACACTAGGTTATACTGACCTTTCAGTGTGCTGGCAATTGGAACATTTAGATGACTCAAATCAAGGATGTCTAAGGATAAGACTGGGAGACAGGAACTATCAGCAGTCTGCTGACATGGTTCCTAGTTTTGAGATATTCTATTCCAGGCTTTTCACATCTCCTCACACTGGCTAACTCATACTTCAAGGGACTAGACTGTGATCCAATTAGAAAGACCTATGAAAATTTTGCCCACTCTAAATAACAATTATCCTTTAAGGTTTTCAAAGTATTTTATATACATTATCTTATTTAAGTCTCACAACAATTCTGATAGGTAAGGATTATAGGTCTTATATCCATTTTATAAAGAAACTGAAATTAAATGACTTGCTCATGATCAAACAGGTAGTATCACCAGTGTGACTCAAATTCAGGTGTTCTTTCCCAATGAAATGCACAATCACTCCCAATCGTGACTTCCTGTTATAGATGGTAGCACTTGATTTGGCAATCTACCACATCAAATGGTTACATTACACAAAGCAAGTGTGTAGTTCTTTTATCCTTTGTAATGATACCACTACAAGGGAGTTTTATCCATACATAATGAGGCCTTAGCTGATTCACTACAGCTTGCTTTGGCACTCCAGTTCAGGAAACACTATACGAAGCGATGAACAAAAAAGATTGTAACTCCTGTTTGGCTAAACCTTGTCCTTTCAGCAGCTTCAGTCTTACATATAGAGAGCAGATAAGAGGATTCTGGAGAATTATGCTTAAAATTGAAGTTGAAAACTCCTACACTGATAGGTTATGTAGGCCTAAAGTTATCATAAACACATGCCTGTGTGTAGATTCCAATATGGAGATGTTCTAATGGCACATACACACATATACATAGACACAAAGATATATATTACAAACATTTACTGGCTTGCCAAAGGTTTAATAGTAACCTCTTTGTTTCTCCTGCTTGAATTTCTGCCCTGAAATGTCCATCTCCCACTCCCCAAAAGTTCTAATGATACAGATAATGGCCATATTCATAGAGGGGATAAGGCCACTTAGCTCTGAGTATGTAGTAGTACTAAGTAATAAGTAGTCCTACAGACTTTAGCTCAAGACTTCAAGTAAGATAAAGGACAACTTATCTTCTTCTTGTCTTAAGCCAATTACTGCAAGATTCTAGATGTTTACATCTTACAGCAGAGAAATAGATTACACGATAAAAGACACACAGAAGTGAAGCCCAAAGTGTATATAAGTACAATGCCTGGAACTAACCTATACATAATGGGGGCAACTAACTAAGTGGTACAGTGGACAGAGCACCAGCCTTGGAGTCAGGAGAACCTGAGTTCAAAACTGGCTTCAGACACGAAACACTTTCTAGCTGCGTGACCCTGGGCAAGTCACTTAACCCCGATTGCCTCACCAAAAACAAACAAAACAAACAAAAAACCCCCAACTACTATACATAATCATTCCTGTGGGCCACATATTGACTTAGAAAAACACATATATCATGTTCCATAGTTTTATCTTGTTACATATTTCCCAATTCCATTTTAATCTGGTTCAGGCTGCACTCAGAGGAGCAGGTGTTTGAGACCTCTGATTTAAGAACTTAAATGGACCCAGTACAGAATTCTAGGATCACAGATTTAGGGCTGGTAAAGACAATAGAGGCCAGTAAGTTCATCCCTTCCACTTTATATATAATGAAAATCTAACTTGCCTGTCACATAGTTAAGTAACTGAGACAGGATTTCTAACCAGTTTTTCTGATTCTGAATGTAGTGTTCTTTACATCACTACAAAGAGAAAAAAATTCAGTGGCCTGTAGCTGGATTAATATAGGAACTTCCAGTGAAGAAATTCCTTCTATAAACGCAGATCTATAATTGTAACTAATTTTATATAGCAGCAAATTCCATGGCCTGGATTTCAGGTCTCTTTTTCTAGTATTATTTTACAGTTCTTCTCTTCATATATCCTACATTCCAGGTAAACCAGATAAATTGTTCCCAATCTTGTTCTGTCTTTCCCACCTCCAAATATTTGCAGGGGATCATTCAATCATCATACTCTGGACTGTATGCTACATCTTACCTGTTAAAATTCTTCAAGGTTCACTTCAGGTTTCATCTTTCCCATGAGACATTTCAACCCCTTCCCCACCTCCACTTGAAAGCGATCTATTCCTTCTTAAATTTCCTTATGGCACTTTGGCTCTCACTTTCTACTTTGTAGCATAATTATTTGTATGTATATTTCTGACCCCTTCCCAAAATAATAACAATTAGCATTTATATAGCACTTCACAGCTTGCAAAGCACTTAAAAAAAACCCTGGAAGGTAGGTGCTATTATCCTCATTTTACAAATAAGGAAACTGAGGGAGGCAGGTTAAATGACTTGCCCTGAGTCACACAGTTACTGTCTGAGGTAAGATTTGAATTCAGGTCTTTCTGATTCCAGGTCCAAGACTGCTATCACCTAGCCATCTTGAGGAGACAGACTTTTTTTCTTATTATTTATGGTGCTTATTAATTATTAACTGATTGAATGAAATATACCCTGTGTAAAAAATGGCTTTTCTTCATTTGCTTGGGCCAAATCTGGCTGGCAACCTGTTTTTCTACAATAAAACTTTATTTTAAAAAGTAAAAACCATTCTTAGCTCGTGATCAAACAAAAACAGGCTCTAAGTCTCATTCAGCTCTGGGCCAAATGGTATTAGTTTGCTGAATCCTGCCCTAGATAACAACTAAACACTAAATTGCAGAAGACATAGCTCTGCACTGAAGAGGAAGCTTCCTTCCCTAGTATTCCTCTATACTATACCAGAGACTTAAAGGTTTAGTCCCTATTCTCTATTCAGTTCAAGAATTTACTTATTAAGCACTTACCATATGCATCAAGCCTACAGCTAGGGCCTGGGAAAAGGAAGACAAAAATGGCTCCTGCCCAGAAAGCACTTTTATTCTTCTGTCTTCAAGGAAGGTACACTCTATGTACTGTCTTTTAAACTAGATGCCAAGAAAATCTCCTTAACACTTTTAATTTACTAGCAATAAGGACTGTCATCCTTGTCACAGCCCCCACTAAAAGCAATCAGTATCTGGTAATGGTGTAAAGCAAGCAGCTTCTGTGTATGGAAGCACCACTAATGGATTTTCTCTGTCAATATGGCACATATCTAGAAGACAATGATGTAGAATAGGGCAGGTTTATACTTAGATTAAACTTAAATTTATGTCTCATGATCAGGAGTTAGAAGGAAAACTTTCTTTAATCATAGCAGAATGTTTCCCTGTTGTTTGACAATTTTAAATAAATATGGTTTCAGTGTTGTCTTATGGGTGAATAATGGGTTTAAGCAAATACATACACAAACTTAAGAGTAATATAAAATGAAACATAGCCAATTTTATTCAAATTCACAACATTTCAGTTTCTAGAACTAAATATTTTGTATAATATGTTTATTTAAGTGGGAATTTTTCAATATGTTTCTCTTCCAAAGTATTTTAGTAGAAACCAGAGTCTTGAGTAGCCCAGTTAGGAGCCTAGAATATAAAGGGAAGAGTTGTCAATAGCGCAAAAGACAATAATTGCTAAAAACATTATTAAGGTGATATTTATATGTAATAATCTCTGTACACAATAGACAATGAAACCTGAACTGATTGTAATAGTTGGCACTAGTTTGCCTCTTCATTTCTTCCTGGTTTGACTTCATTAACTCAAGGTTTTTATTAAATAATGTATGTTATTTATCATGTTATACAATTATATATTTAACACCTCTTTATTTGAAACCATGAGTTAATGAAATTAAACAGGAAAAAATGAAGAGGCAAACTAGTAATTATAATAAGATAGAACGTCTAATTTTTTTCAGTTTCTTTGAATTTCATACAATAAAGTTCCTGCCCAGAAATGAAGAAATTAGTACTAAGTATAAAATCTTAAAATAAAATGTGCTTACCAATGAGAAAAAAAAATCAACATTGACAGATCATACAACAGTGGACAGACATCTAAATTAGTATTCATTTCAAGTATGTCTACATGGTAATTATGTTTTACTATTTTTAAATCAGTCAAAACAGAAACAAAAAGTCAAGGTTCTTACCTCTGACCTACTATTCTGATTAAGTTTTTTCTCAATATTCATGGCCAGCATCTGGCTTCGAAAAGAAAGGCTTTTAGTCTTTTCAATCACTTGCTGATAGGGTGAGACTGCGTTGTTACCCATAACCACATGGCCCTGAAATGAATCAGGAGGAAATATGGTCTTATGGTATTTTAATGATAGTGTTCAAAAAGACACAAGCAAGACATAATAACACTGCATGTATGAAATGTAAAAGCAACACACAAATATTTCATACCTTTGCTAATGAGATTATATTAGGTTACTTATTCAGTAAAGCTAGTTAATAAGTTAAAAATACTTCTTTAGTCAGTATGGAATTTGAAAAACCTGATAAAAGGTCAAAGAAAGGGCAAGGATCAAAATAATTTTAAATTAAGTTTTAGTAACTGATATTCTGTATTTAAGATAAAATTTTTGATACATACCAATTTGGAGTCAATCTTGGCATCAAGCCTGGCATTTCTAATCAAATTGACAATCCACCTTTCAGCTTCTTCAGGAGTCATGTTCAACTTATCTGCCAACATGCTAACAGAAGAAAGGAAAAACAGGCATGTTACCTGGGTGCTTAAGTATTATGTCTCATACTTCATTACTACATGATAAAAAAAAATATGGTAATATTAAATTCCACCAACATTTGTTTTGTTACAATTGGCTATTGGTAAAGTTACTTATAAAGCCTTCCCTGTTGAATCTACTTGTAAATGATCTCTCTCTCTTTGGGATTCCTTTTGAATTTACTGTCCACTAAAATAAAACCACACACTTGCTTTATATCAGTTATTTATGAACATGTATTATTTTGCAATCTCTTTAATAAGGGCAGGGAAAATAGGATCACAGATTTGAAACTGGGATAGATACTATAAGGTCATCTGTTCCAATCCTCTTATTTTACAGATGGGGAAACTGAGTTCCAAAGAGGTCAAGTGACCTGTCCAAGGGTCACACAGGAGATGGAATAGATCTTAAGTACAGGTCCCACAACACCCAGTTTAGCACTCTTTCCACTGTGCCAGGGACACTCAATAAAACTGTTTGCTGCTTAGACAGGAAAAAGTGGGAATCTTTCTCAGTGATATGCAAATACACCTAAAAATCCACCTACTGAAATGTTTTAAAAATGAGAAACATCATAATCTGATCATTACTTCATTTTGTACCACAATAAAAACTGTTGCAATGGGGTCAGCCTTTATCAGTAATCATACTAAACCATAATCAATACTAATGTCCCTGTGTATACTTTACTGTATATACAATTTTCTAGGTGTATAAAGCCTAGGAGTATTAATGCACACTGCTTTTCCCACACAGGAATAATAAAATGGTAAATAAAATAATAATACAGTAAGAAAGTAGACACCAGAACTAAATGGTGAATGTATGATACCAGACATGTCAGGATATGTCCAGTGAATGCTGTCTACAAAGATGACAGTAGAATAGTGTGTGATAAAGGTAAGCATTCTGAGACTACATGGATTATTACAAATAGCAATGCCTCAAGTCAAGGGTTATCCATGTCATGTGAAAAGCTCAGAAATCCATCCTCCCTCACCCTCCCCTTCATGTTAAATGGCTCTTCTAAGGGTTCTTGATTTCTAAGAGGACGGAGACAAGAAGGGACACCTTGCAAAGGTGCATATGGGGCTGCAATCTGTACCAGTGGAAAGTGTATACACTGAAGTACAAAGACCTACCAGAGCTATAGGCTTCACTGACACAGCCTTTAAGAACACAGGACCATCACCTCCACATTATGATGAAAAGACTTCAGTGAAGAATATTTACAAGGTACTAAATATTACAAGATTTATTCAAAATGCAAAATCAAAGCAAAGTAGAAAAATAGTCAAGTGACACAGAAAAACAAAATAAAGATATATTTTCACTTAATTCTCCTCATAATCTCCACCTCCCTCCAAAAAGCCACCAAAACAGGGAAGTATGTCATTTTATTTAAACAAACAAGCATTCTTCTGTCCAAGCATAATTCTTGCAGCTGGTGTTTCTTGTGGTTTTCTAATAAACTCCTTCTTGCATTTCCTGCTGCCACTTGGCTTATTTTTAAGACTTACGAATCTCAATCTCCTATCAGCTTCCAGACAAGGCAACTGTCTGGGTTTTTTACCTGAAGCTCCTAAACTAAGTCAAGTTGCAACATTACCACCAAAGAAGAGACTCACAACTGATATCATTTTACCACTACATGTTAAAATATATTATTTCCCTTAAAAAAAAGTTTCAAGTCTTAAAATCAATCAGGCTAGTGCAAAGTGATAAAGCAGACAAAACATTATGTTAATCCAATATTCATAAGGTTTATTGTCTGCTTCCAAGGAATGAGAAACGATTCTCAAAACAAACAGCTAGCACTTGTGTATATATAGTACAGAAAATGACAGCATAGTATAAAAAAGCCTTTGATATAATGTCTATATAAAAAAAGAAATCATCTAAATATCTAACCATACTAGTAAGGGGACTTAAAATAACTAATCATCACAATAATTTATTGTAAAGGATGTCTTGAAATAAAATAGTAGTTTTAGTTGTTTTATTTGTCAAAGTATTTTTAGATTTTAAAAAATAAACATGAACCGACTCTCCTTAATTTATAAAGCATAGACTAAAATTTTATTATATTAGTCAACAGTGATCAGAATTTAGTGACAACGCCAATTTTTAAAGTACAGGTTCTTAAAGACAAAATAAGTAATTTGCTTATCATGGGAAAATAAACAATATGAATGAAAAAGACCAAATAGTCCTAAGTACAGTAGAAAAATAAATCTAGAATGGCACAATGCAGGAATCTGACACTAGCTAAAAAAGAGAATGCAGGGAGTTACTTATACAATCTGTTTTCTGTGCCTAGTTCTGGAATATCAAACTTAAGGAAGAGAAGTAACTTTAAAATGGTCTGAATTAGAGGATAATGACTGTTTCTTCTCAATCTCTAATGAAAATCTAAGAAGAATTTAGATTATATATACAAGAGAAATAACAACAGGGAGAGTTGTTCTCAGGAGCACCTTATTTCATAGAATTACAGAATCTTAGTTATCCAGTACAAAGAATCCTCCTCTACCCTGAAGGATGGTCATACTAGTAGGCAAGTCTTTCTACATGAGGAGGCAGCTTATTCTACTTTAGGACAAGCTCTAGTTGTTAAGTTTTCCAAAATCTGTTTCTCTTTAACTTCCAACCACTGCTTCCGATTTCAGTCTCTCAGAACAAATCAAGTTATGTCCTTCAATTTGACAATCTTCTAAATGTCTAAAGACAGCTACCACACCTCCCACTAAGTCTTTTATTCTTTAGGTAAAATGTCTCTTGTTCCTTCAAGCAATATGCAATGCATACATGTGTCACATGCATGCTCACACACAAAGTGCTTTTCTTACAACAATCCTGTGAGGCGGGTAGTATCCATTTATAGATGAGCAAACTAAATGACTTGTCCAGGAAAGAAAGAAGGTATAGTCAGAACCATAGTTTAAACCTAGATTTCAGAAGTCTAAAATCTAAAATGTATGCTTCTTTCATTATACATACCCACTGCTTCTCAGATCCTGTTATGCTAGTTTTTGTTTTGCCAATCATCCTGATTGCACTCATCTTAAACATGCTGCATTTCAATGCCCTTCTTAAGACACAGTCACAGATACAATTCTATACACATAGTCTGAATGGGGAAGAAATAGGCTTTGAAATTTTGAAATATTCCTTTTACTTCAATGGATCAATTTCATGGGTGTAAGGTCTTCCTTCAACATAGAATGCAAAGGGGCAGCAGTGGATACAGCACTGGCCCAGGAGTCAGGAGGACCTGAGTTCAAATCTGGCCTCAGACACCTGACACTTACTAGCTGCATGACCCCGGGCAAGTCACTTAATCCCAATTGCCTCACCAAAAGAAAAAAAGAAAAGAAATAGCTTACAGAGATCGTTTATACCACTACATCACTTTTCTAGCTTTAAGAATTTAATTATTAGCATTTAAATTTTACCTCTATTCATGGCAAGTAGGAGTCTTATTTGGTACCTAAACAACTAGTTGGAGAGTGCAGTACTCATAAAAATGACAAGAGTGATAAGACCTTCACAGATTCAGTAGTAGATAAGAATGCAAAAGAACTGTTTTAGTCCCAGTTCTGCCATTAATTTCTTATATAACCTTAAACAAGCTTTAACCTCTTTGGGTCTGTTTCCTCTTTATAAAAAGAGAATTATAATACTTAGCTCACAAGGTTGTAGAGTTCAAGTGAGATTTTATATATATATAAAATTAAAGTTCTTTGAAAGTGATAAATCATAATAAATGTAAGACATCTTATATTTTCAAGAATCTGCCTTGCTTCCCACCATATTCTTCTTTGGTTATTCATGCCTGTAGTATTTTATTCTGACCTAAACTTCATTTATTAGGAAGGACATAGGCAATGGAATATGTCCAGAGAAGGGTGACAAGTTTACTAGAAACTTTGCTATACACCAGTTGACAGAACTAAAGGACTTGCTAGGGTAGGAAGGAGGGGAGGCAGAGTAAAAAGATAGCTCTCTACTAGATTTACTTTGCTTAGCCACAGAAGACAGAACTAATACTAATGGGTAGGATTTATAGGTAGGTAGCAGTTTTGCTCTACAAAGAAAAAGTCACCATTAGTATGTTAAGAGTTCCTCATTACCAGAAATGTTCCAGTGAAGACTAAATGAACATTGATTGAGGGATATGTAGAAGGAATTGTATATAAGAACCCCTTAATTTGTGCTTTGATATCGGTTGAACTAGGAATCATTTCTAACTCTATGATTCTGTCCAGAGAATCACAATATTAGAGCTACAAGATGATTTTTTAAAATCACCTATTTAACCCCCTTTATTTTACAGAATATGGAAACTGAGACTTAGGTGGCTTGGTTAAAAGACATGATCAGCAAGTTGCAGAGCTTCACACTAAAATCTTGTAACTGAAAATCCAGTATCTATCTGTTCCACTACAGGACCTTCTATCCCCTTCCCTTCTTAACCTTAAGAATGTTGTGGCACACGGTTCTCAATCTACTCAGAACAGATTATTTTTTTAAAAATAGATTTTTATTTCCCAATTATATGTAAAACAAAAACATTGTAGTTATTGTTTCAGAAAATACTTTCCCACTCACACCAAATTCAAAATGCTTAATAAAAGGAAAAATGGGAAATAACTTATCCTACTTCATGCCTTAAAATCTTGCTCACAGCATGTAATGAACTATCCTAAAATTTAAGATGACCTCTAAAGTTATACTAATGGTGACACTGAAAAAGAAGTACTTTGATAGAATATATTCATTTAAAAGGCACAAAAAATAATCTATATACTAAGTTAAAGTTTGGAAGAATTTCTTTAAACTTTCAGTTTCAATGAAACGAGCAGATAATGAACATGGAGGAATGCCAACATTTCATTGAGTTTTGATGAAATAGCATTTAATTATAAACATTTATGTTCAGTTTACCAATAGCTAAAATGTAG